ATTGATGTCATGTCACTTGCAGACTCTGATGGCATCATATGCATCGTTGATGACATGTCGCCTGCACATACAAATTCAATATTTTAATTGCATGACATATTTCATACCTCCATAACTTTAGCTTACCTTCCATTAAATAATTGCATTTAAGTTCAAACCATGAGTTCGTATCGACTTACCACCTGGTAGTGTCAGCAGGATGCATGCAACAAGAGCAACAAATTGCTCCTTTAGGGGCTGAGCCATCTTTGTCGTGATGCGGTCGAAAGAGTGCCAAAGGCTGTCGAAGAATTTTAGCTGAATTTCCTCTTATAATGGTCTGTGTGATATTAATTAGTGGCTGGCAAAAGCTTGTGTGCAAAGGGAGAAAAAAACAGCCGTTAAAATGTTAACATTATAACACTACTTAAGGGAATATAATGTCCAGTTGCTTTCTCCTGCTTGACCTCAATATTTTTAAAATTTGATATCGCTTATAATGCCTTTTTCTTCTTATTCTTCTGCAATCGTTCGGAGAAAGCCTCGTGGTTTCATTTAGGTTTCCTCTCCATAAAATGTATTGAACTTAGCTTGTTACACTTCCTCGTAAATTTTTTCTTTTACTTTGGCAAACAAATAAATAGAAAATTAATAGATGAATAACAATTTTATTATAAGACAAAACAGTTTTTGTTTTGCGAAAAATTTTTCGACACTAGTCATGACCTCTTCGGTTGCCAATGCTGGTGTAACAATTTGAAATTAACTTTACAAATACGTGAACTACTATGAAAGAATATAAAACGAAATACGAAAATACAACGGAAGTACATTTTCAAAATTGAATTAAACTCTATTTAGGAGACGAAATAAATTCTGAATGCTGATTGCAAAAAATGACAACAATGCTGGACCTTGTGGTTTTGCGTTTTTGGTCAGGCAACTTATCTATACATACACGTGTATATAATTTATTGAAACAATTATTGTTCAAAGACCTGACAATATCGATATATATCATCGACCCGCCGGAAGTCTAAACTTATCCCGGCGCAGCACACGAAAAGCAAATTAAAAGGGTAATCATTGAAAAAATGCAAAATGACATGACCACACGGTAAGGTTTTTTTTTCACAATATTCTATCAAAAAGTTATAAATATGATAGAGATTCTATAAGAGAACGGAGCGACTACGTACTGTTCAGACATTTTGTACGACAAATTATTTTTTATGAAATCCAGGATCGATATGGTTGCGAAAAAAATGAGTCAATGAAAAAAAATTTACACATGAATAAATGAAGTGATAAATTAACTAATCAAATAAAGAAGTAAAATATAAAGTGTAGGAGAAGATGCTATCAGCAGGCAAATTTCTCTCCATGATTATATCAAGATTACGTTCTTAGGAAGTTGGAGAGGCATAAAGAGTGATTTCTTAAATTTTTTATTTTATTATTTGATGAGCGTTGTTTTTTCTACTGGAATTTTTTCCGTACTTTTGCTCCGAATCTTACAAAGGAATTACAGAGATTCTGAGTAAATTTACCTTGCCTCGGCCTTGATTTTTCTGGTTATCACAAAAACCTCATCCAATGATTGTTTATAAATCAGTTTGTAATCATAATGCAAAAAACCCCATTTGACGATGAGTTACGTCACCTCACTTCCTTCCACGTCAACGGTATCTGCGATATTGATCGGTGAAGAGGAATGAGTACTATTCACGATTTTCACGAAGACATTTTCCGGGTCATTTCATGTTTGTTTTTGTATGTTACCTATACATGCAGTAAAGGTTGGAGACTGTCTCTTCCTCCCTGGCTGCGAGCCTCAATTCCGACGGCCCATAGAATCGAGATGGAGACAACAGAGCTAACAGAGCGAAACACTCTTCTCTAATTCACTCAGCGAGTTAATGTGAAGTTAAAGCCAAATGTTTTGGTTTAGGTCGTTAATGAATAAACTCATTTTGGAAAGATGGTCCAATATGCTTAATGGAGAAGTAATGTAGAATAAGCTGTTATGGATATGGCTACTATCACGGGATAGTTGTTTTGCTACAAGTGACCAGTTTGTCTGAGTTCTGTTGTCCCTTTATATTTCAACTGATAGCTGGTGTGTTTCCGCATAATAACTGTCAGGTTGTATACAATAGTACTAGAGCTATTTTTGGATTGTACGTGGTCTCTTTGTTGAGCGCAAAATGCAAATTAACAAGAAGCTGTTTAAGAATACCGTGACGTTTGTGGAAAGCATCATTTACCGATATGACGAAGCAAAAACAACAAAAAGTGAAAGAGGTAACCAAAATGTATGAAAATGGACAAATGTCTTGATACTGAAAGATTACTTTTATTTATTTGGAAGAGGTACTGATCTAAAACTTAGTTCCTATCAACGAGCTGACCAGGCATCTCAAACTGACGTGGAGGTTAATAAATGCAATGCACATTCGTTCTGCGGTTAGCTTCGCAAACTTAAATGTTTTTCCTCTCGGGAATGCAAGATACGACCCTGACTTAGTCGTTGATTATGTTCCCTGAAGGCTTGTTTTTTAATTTAAGTTTTCAACGTTCATTCCAGTTTCTTTATATTTATTTTTCTTATGCCTGCGGAATTTCTTTTATGTTTATTTATCCAAAAAAGATGCCTCACGTTTGAAAATAAACCTAACATAAAAAACCCACGAATTCGTCACACTTTTTTGAAATTCTCTCTTGAAAAAAGTTCCGCGCTGGTCAAACAATAACTGTTAAGACGCGAACCCATAGATTTTTTTTAATCTGATCCGTTTTCTGTCGCATAAAATCACTAATGTTGCAGTAAAAACTAACAGATGCTTCTGTTTAAGTAAAAAAAAGTGCCGTCGTAAACGGTACGAATTGTATGAAGCTTAGAAAAGCCGCCTGATTCACTTGATGCAAAGTAACGATGTTGGCCTGCTATAAGACATCAGAAGCTGGTACGTGAGTCAGCCAATCTTATCTGATTTCACTCACTACCGATCAAACAACTGGCATCGGTCGAAAGTTAGATATTTGCATCTTATTACGATAAAATAACGAGAGATTTTCAAAGAAGGAAACCTTACCTTCCAGACCTGTCTTTACACGCGAAGATGCCAATGAGGAATGAAAATGACGAGCAAACGTCAATGTGTTATACGTCAGATAAAGTTCTTGATGCGGAAAGAGGAAATATTTAGGTTTGCCGGTCATGGGCCGTGATCGCATAAAACGCTTATGGGAGTCTTTAAAAATGCAATGCTTGGAAGGAGTGCTTTCTTTTCTTTTTGCCAATATTTCCTTCGTAAAAACTTTCGTTTGTCTCAGGTCAGAATAAAAATTTACTCTCCGATCGATGCCGGTCTATAGGTCGCAAAAAATATCAAACCATGGGCAGCGGTCCAAAAGCTTCTCTCTATGTTTCAGGACACGGTTGAAAAACTCGGATTTGTTCCCCTTTCAATTGTTGCGTAAGTAACGCGCAACTTTGGCTAAAAATAAAACCAAAGAAATGCTTTCAAAACGAAGGAGTGGGAAATGTTACAAAAGTAAGAGGGGAAAGCGATAAAACGATTCATTTAGCAAATTAGTTATAACAAAACATGTTTATCTATTTTTCGGGTATCAATACATTTTTAAAGTGTTGCTTCTTGCGGTCAGCTTATTAAAGGCTTGTTAACAATAACTGTGAACAATAAGCTTCTTTAAAAAGGTTGCGGACTCACTCGGCTGAGGCAAACGAGAATTTTACGAAGGAAATATTAGTAAAAGGAAAGAAAGCACTCCTTCCAAGCAATACATTATATTTTTCAAGCGGCGCTTCCAGCGGTCAGGTTAATAAAGGCTTGCTAACAATAATTGTGAACAATTAACAAACAAGTTTTAATTTAAAAGAAAATAGTTAATTCTATTTGAGTCCACAACATTTTGACCACTGTGATGACGATTATAATCAGTAAACCTCGCGAAACCACTGTTAAATTGGTGCATGATGTTCGAATAAAATTAAATAAGGTTTACCTAATAAAGATGTCATGTCTCAGGGTTGTTTCCGCTCCTCAAGGATCAAACCTTATCTAAACAGGATGACCGGATAATGTTAGTAGCAAGCAAGGCATATACAAACAATGTGTTTAAAATCCTTTTAGACAGGAAACTGTGCACCTGCGAAAAAATTCGATAACAGCAATCATTAACCACCGAGCTACAATCTTCTCGGCAGAGTGGCCAATGATATGGGCTATTTGGATACGTGCGCTAAGTGGCCTAGCAACCTTCAAGACTATGCCGAAACCCAGCTAATTGTTGTGGTAAGGAGCATGGCTATGTTCTTCCTGGAACTCTTTGATGTGCGGACTGAAAAGAAGTAACTAAATTGCTGCTAGATTTCAGTGGCTAAGCGACTTGATGTGACTACAAGGCTACAGTTGTACGTGGTTGCATGTCAGTTCCTCCTAGGCTGGCTGCTAACTGTATAAATAGTTACGACATGACCAGATAGCTACATAGCTCCATCAGCACATGATATAACCGTATAGAATCGTTACTGCGTGACACCTGTACATGTGACTACAACTGAAGAGGGTTGAAAGGCTCCTGAGGTACTAAACCAATCATACAAGAGACTTCTTTCTCACTTGGCTACTTGGCTGCCTGTTACATGTTGCTACATGGATGCGAGGCTTCCAAGCTTCAAAGCTAACGTGCAGACTAGCACTTATAAACTTTCGAGAACTCGCAGCTCAGTTAAGTGGTAGCCCCAACCAGGCTACAAGGCAACTTCAGAATGGGTAAAGTGAGCAATCTACGAACCACACTAACGAGAGGTTTGAGCATGTGAATAAGCTTTGCATGGTTTCGTCCGGTCGCGTTCTTTCTTTTAACGATCGCAGTGAAAACAGGTTGGAAAACATGACGAAGATTGCTATTGGTCCTGTTGGTGGGAATGCTGATAGCACAAAGACAATTGTCTAAGTAACAAAGAACCTGCAAAGTATTTTTGTCGAGACAGCGGAGTTATTCTTAAGAGTTATAGTTGACAGAGGAGTTATTCGATATTTGGAAAGAAGTGTGACATAGCAGCCTAAATCTGAATGCATCTGGATAATCACAGAGTAATAATTTTAGTTTGTGTTCAGTTAAGGAAGGAAAGCGGTGGCTCTCTCTCAACGCGCATATAACAGGCCTAGAATGTTAATTAGGACTCAGATGGACAGTGAACGAAATTATCGCAAGGAGTGATATTTTGTTTAGGACAAAATAGAAGCCAATCGCTCCGAAGTGTTGAACGGTTAAAAGAGGTTGATACCAAAAGAATCAGGCATTTTGGAGGCTAAATAATTACTGTTACTCTTAACCATTT